GAAATTCATATCAAAGGATTCGAGCATTATTCTAGGAATGATAAACTCATAGAGCTGCTATTGGCGAGCAAAGTTTCAAAATGGTTAATACCTGTATGTTATTCAATAATAAATAATTCATTTTTTTTACCTTCATTTGTTTGCTTTTTATGGCTTTGTCTCCATTTGGTGAAAAATTGTGATAACAAAACAATAGGTGAGAACAATATTAAACGACAATGAAATACACCTTTCTATTGATCCATCAGAAGGTGAAATTGCTAAAGCGGGTAAAATTTCAATGATTGTATCTGATCAAGAAAATTCTGATAAGCTGAAAGCCATGGATAACGCTTTTAGGTATTTAACCTTTTTGGTAGGGCATCCGCAGTTAAAGTATAGATCCACAATGGAACTTCCTAATTAATTTGTATATGATCGTTGATAATAAATTAAATTTTACATTTAACGTTAGTGTTTTATTGATATATATTTTTATCGATATATAGAATTTTATATCCAGAGACTTCATGTCCTACGTATCACTTATATCTTTAACTGCGGATCCTTCAGTTTTTAAATCTATTTTATATACGTACTAACGTATTATTTTAATATAGAAAATTACAAATAGAAGCCACAGACCCTTTGGACATTACTATGGTATCTTATGATAAAATGCTGGTAAGTATTTTATTAATAATGTAAGATGTAGATCTGACAAGTTTTTTTTTATCGATCCTTATTTCTTTTAACATTTTTTTTTTTATTCTTTAAAAAGATACCAACTTTAATAAATTATGAAAAATTCCGATTTCATTATGATTTGCCTTATGTTACTACACTAAATAACCTCCTTGAAATATTGCGAAAACGCTTAAATTCAAAAATAATTTCACCACCTCTTTATTATACATCCGATAGTAAAAGGACTTTTGTTATTGAAAATGAAGAAAATTGGGAGGAATGTAAGAAAATGGTTGCTAAAGAGAGGCATGAGTGTGAAAACATCATGGGTAATGAAACAATTTTGGATTTGTATGTAACAAACAATAATATGGAGAATAGCATTGAAATGTAAACCATTTTGCTCTATTTACTAAATTTTGGTTAATGTTACGCTATTAAATTACAAGTCTTTCTTTTTTTTTGCGACAACTTTTATAATAACACTTATTTCTCATATGTACGTAAATAAATAATTTGATGATAAATATTATGTACATTAATTAATATGTATATATTAAATAGCAAATATTATACAATTTTTGTATTAATGCATTTATTAATTAGCCGTTATTGACAAATATTATGATCTTTATTTATTACAACCATATGTTTAAAATCCCAAAATCTCTTTATGTCTTTGTTCCAAGAATCTAAATAGACTACCTTTTGATTTATCCCATTGATTATGCCAATGATAAGCAAATACCTGTAATAGTTTCTCTTGATTAAATTCTACTTCATCAAACGCACTAGGCATTGAATTACTGGGGCGACATAGTGAAGGATCGGTAAAACACCAAGGAACCGCTTTAAATGGTTTCTTTTCATTTTGTATTAATCGTCTAAATATTTTATAATATAAAGTTGATCCCCAATCTGTTGAATCTTTTCTTGGTGCAGGACCGTTAGCCATCTCTGATAAAAATTCACAAACATATGGAGAACTTTTTCTAAATCGCATGAAAGCACCATTGAACGGAAAAGCTTCAGGCAAAAAACAATCCCATTGACCAACCCATTCGTGTTCTAAAAGTGGTGAAAAATCGCGGATAAAGAGGGAATCCATATCAAACCATACACCACCATATTTGTATAATACAAGAAGTCGTATTAAATCACCATCTAGGTAAGCATGTTTATCCTCAAATTGGAGATTTTTCGAATTTTCCATTGGTGTTCCTTTACTTTCTTCTTCGACATCATAAAGTTTTATGGAAAACCTATCAGAGTATCGATCAAACAAGGGTTTAAGCTCAGTATTATTTGACAGATCACCATTAGACCAAAGAATCATGGATGAATAATTAGCAGATTGTGTTGCAAAGAATGATTTTAGAGTTGCAAGTTGCTTGTCCCCAAGAGGTCTCAAATCAGTACGCCAATATGTATGATAAATTGTCTTTTCTTGTGGTTGATCAGGTAATAATCTTATATTATTTGCAAAATCGTAACAATCCCAACCATAATTTATAGGTATTGCAGGAAGAATTTCATTATAAGTAATCGTAGACTGCGAATCAGTTACGTAAGGGATGCTATCAAAACATTCACTTAATTTTTCATATTTAAATTCTTCTTTCACTAGCCATTGTCTCCAATAAATCCGAGCATTAAGCTGCAATTCGCAAAAAGTAAAAAACGATATGATAGCAATGATTACTATTAAAATAAGTATTTTAATAATTGTCGTGCACCTTGCACGTTTCGGTGGCTTTGGCCACTGTGCGTTTAATCGTATATATGGCGTTGTTGTCGCCATTTAACCGATAAATATGTTTGTATTCTTATTTTAAAAAATGTATGTTAAATATTATATTCATAATTTTATAAATTAAAAGTTTTGAGAAAAGATATCGGGGAAGTAGTAACGTTATTATACACAAAGCAGCAACTTATAGACTGAAAAATGTTACACTGCATAATTTTCCAATTCTGCAAGTCATATCTATTTTTGATATCATATAGTTACACATATCGACTTTATTGCTCTGGTTGATCAACGTGATATCGAGTAAAGTCAATGTAGTAAGAAAAATAGTGATATGGTAAGCAGAGCAGAGCAGTTAGTGTATACACAATTTATCTTGCATTCACTTGTTTCTGAAAGTCTAAAACTATGATTTTAGGATCTACTCATCGCTATTACAGTATATCTCAGTGTACTTGGTTTCATAGTTTTTATATTATTAATGGGACCGTCACCTCGTTTCAGGTTATTATTTAATCTTGATCTGCAGAGTCATCATTATTTTACATTTCTTGGCGCTTTTATTTTATTATAGAAATGGTCCAATCGGTAGATTACATCTTTTTTTGACGGTTACATTATTCGAATGGATAGGGTTGGTCTATTTCTATTGATATCATTTTTTTGGCAAGTCTATTTTCATTCGGATCTAAATTTTCTTTAACGTAGGTATACTTTTCGGAAAGTTTTCGGGAATCGTGCATCACGGACATGTGATCGATTGTATGTGTACCTTACAGAAGAAACAAATCCAGTTTTACAGGTAATATTCGGGTTTTTTTCATTGCAAGTTGCCAACAATCTATGATAGTCAACTAAAAAATTAACGTTAATGAATATTTCATCAAATAGATTGTTTATTTATCTTTATTGTCAGGATCTATTTATTCATTTTATATAACCGCGTGGCCTCATATTCCAGGGCCTTATGTCTCCAAAATACACGTGTAAGTAGTGTACGTGTCAAACGATCAAATGCTTGCTTGATTTTCACTATTTTTGATTGTTCACATTTTAATTATTTTAATTATTTCAATGATAATTTTTTTTTAGGTATATCGTTCCGATGGTGATTATTTTTACATACGCCACATTTATTGTCGCAAGCCTCAGCGATCCTGGAAAAATAACAAAGGAAAACGAGCTTAAAGCTTGTAGAATGTTTGAATACGATCTCCTATTATTTCGGCCAAAAAAATGTAGAACTTGTCTGATGCAAAAGTAATGTCTTGTTATTTTAATATATTATATACAGAAATATGAATAATTTCTTTATAATAACAAAATATATTTTATTAATTTACAGACCTGCACGTTCAAAACATTGTTCATTATGTAACGTATGCATAGCTAAATTTGATCACCACTGTAAGTTTAATTATAAGAGTTAAATGAATTTTTGAAAATTTGAATAATATTATTTCATATTTTTATAGGTGCATGGATCAATAACTGTGTTGGTTTAAGGAATCATCGCTATTTTATTCTTTTTTTATATGCCACATTTCAAATCTGTGTTTATGGCGCATATTTGATTTATTGTATATTAAATGGTATAGCAAAGAAAATGAATTTGCATACTGCTTTTGTATATAGTGCAAGGGGATTGAGAATACCAATCTCTACTTACCAAGCTGCATTGGTAGGTTTTTATTACTTTTTTTATTATTTTTTAAATTTCATTATTTCCACAATAAATATTAATTTATACTATCCATTTTAAAAGTTTTTAGTTCATCAAGAAAGACTTCTCGGTGCTTTAGGACTTTTCGCTGCTCTTGTTAGTGTGGTTATTTTAATATTTATGCTTTATCAACTTTATTTGGTAATCGTTGGCACAACAGCAAATGAATCATTCAAATGGGAAGATTTAGATGAAATTATTATGGCAGGAGAATTTTGGGTTTATGAAAAAGAACCTAATGATTCGATAAAGAAATCAGATGATAATGAGTCCGGCAGTTCGGTCGAAAAGGCTTCGGGAAGAACAACGGCAGTTTATTGGATACAACCACGTGATTTAAAACAACGTCAAACCAATGAAGATAATGATAGAATAAATAATGAAGATAATAACAAAGATAACAATAGAGAAGACAATGACAGAGAAAATAATGAAAATGAAAGGAATAGCAATAGTCAACAAATCGGAAGGCAGGTAAAGAGGTTATCAGAAATCAAAAATCTTTATGATAAAGGATTGTGGAATAACCTTCGTGAAGTTTTCTTTCCTCCTTCTTTGAATGAATAAAAGACTTTATTAGCGTGTAATAATAGATATTCATAATTCATGTTTTTCCGCATAGAATTTATTTATTTATTTGCTTATTTAGTTTGAAATAAAGACATCCAGCTAATAAAAATTCATAGAGCTTTTTTTTTAAAAAAACAAGAATTTAAAATTTTACAAATTAAATTTTTTTTTTTTTTTGAATAGTACTGTACAGTACATATTTTTTTAATTGAAAAATTACATTATAATTTCTTACAACGAAAAAATATTAATTATTATAAAAAACCGTCAAGGCATTTTTTGCAATAATAATTACGCTATGCCAAACATCCAGAATGGAGGAATTCCATTTTTCTTTATTCTATTACCCAATCCAACATAACTATCTATATTTTCTCTTTCTTCCGGCTCATCACTATAATCAAAAGAATATTTTTCACTAAATTTTTTCAAAATCCTTTGAAAATACTCATTTTCATTGTTCCTTTGTGATAATTTTGAACTAATTTTATGAGCTGTATGCGCTATGTACATTAAAGGTTTTAGTAAAAATAACCCTTGTTTTTTTTGTCCTTCATATTTATTTAAATGACTCATTATAGCCTTTGACAACTTTTGTCCATCCTTTGATTTGTATAACCATAAATCATTACTCACTCTAACATTTTGTATTATCCTTGTAATCAACATCCAATAATGTAAATTTAATGACTTATACTTAAATACTTCATCTTCATAAGCTGAAGGTTTAATCAGCTTATTCCTAATCATATTTTTTACATACATCATCTCATATGGTTGACTTATTTTAGCAGCATTCGTTAAAGATACATCCCGAGCTATATAAAATTGTTTTCCTATCCTCATTCTTAATCGATTAGAAACTCTTGAATGTAATCTGATATCATCAATGAATCCAGAAAGAGAGAGAATTTGAAGATCATAAAGAGTTCCTCTATGGTCCGGTTTACGTCCTGTCGAAGTGCCCTCCGGTGAACTTATTAAATATTCAAGCCAATATGATGCTAACGCTTGAAGTTCTGTATATTCTCTATGTGTTAATGCTTTTATTCTATAAAGTAATTTGCATGAATCAAGAAAATGAGAAGGATCAGTTTCAAATATGTCTTTAGGTATTTTATAGAAAACTGATGATGATTCTGAATTTTTGGGAATTGTACGTGGAATCTTATTTAAATATGGAAAACCATATCCTTCATCAAATAAATTGCAATCAAGACAAGTATCATTGTATTCTAAGAGAGTAATTTTATCTTCTTCTCCAATACCATATGATGATAAAAGAAATGTACGAATAAGATTTGCAGCCCATCGTGAATATAAAAAATTACCAGAAAAATATTGAGCAAGAGTTAAAGTTGTTATATTTTCAAATAATTGAGAAGTTGAGGTAGAAGTTTCAGGCATTTCATTTGATTTGCTATCAAGTTCAGGCATTTCATTTGATCTACTTTCAAGTTCAGGCATTTCATTTGATCTGCTTTCAAGTTCAGGCATTTCATTTGATTCGCTATCAGGTAAATTTGTTTCCGAATCAGTATTTAATTTTAAGAATGTTACTTGAATACTAGTGTTGATAGATAAAGAGTCATCAACTTTATGTAAATCAGAAACTTCAGAAGTTATCTCGTCAGCTCGATTTAACATAACATCAACAATCCTCGTAATCTTCTCGTCACCAGACCAATATTTTATTCTTGCATTACTTAATGAGCTTTCATCATATAAAAATAATCGATCTGGATTAAAATTTTTATGGGTTCTTGCTATTCGTTCATCTATTCCATCAATTAAATCTTGAATAGCTAACAAACGATTAAATGCTCTTAATGCACCTGATTCTTTTTGATTTAACTCTTGCGATGCCTGTCCGGAGAATAGTCGGAAAACCCAGCCGACTTTCATATACAAGTTTTTAGATGTGTAATTAGATGGTGTATTATGAACATTTTCATTACTTTCCCATGGAATAACTGGCCTGGCAATGAATCTACTTGGAGTTGGAACACCTAGTCGCCATAACATTTCCAGCTATAATAAAATATAATAATTATTAATTTTTTTCTATAATATTTATCAATTAAATATCAATTAATATTACCAATTAATATTATCAATTAATATTAATATTATTCGCCAAGGAAAATCTGTCATCGGACTTTCAATTATGTTTAGTATTAATCCAGTGCAAAAAAAATATAATTGAAAGCCCGATTACTGGTTCTCTCTTGACGGCATTCATACTTATTTATTAGACTTTACATATAGCGTACCTTTGATCTTCTACCATAACGCATATTCTCGTTATATTTTTCTTCAGCATCATGTCGAAATATAACTTGAGGCTCCTCAGGAGTTTCTGGTTTTTGATCCGAATCAGACAGTAATTGAGAATTATTTAATAACCTTGCCATGGGAACCACGAAATATTTATAATCCTTGCCCCATTTTTCAATTTGTGACGTAATCTCGGTAAAAGCGCTATTAGTTAAGAAACAATTCCCATCAAAAGGAAATATCCATCGAGCATTTGGTTGAGACTGTCCATGTTTCAAAGCTACATTTCGACCACCATTCTAATAAAAATATAAATAACATAATATTAATAAAAAAAAAAAAAAGCTAGATTATTTAAAAAGGTAAAATAATTTAAACGTACATTATTCATAACATAAATATTCTTATCATGATAAGTATAATCGATTGTTCTTATTTTTGCAACTTTTGTAAAGTTCATAAATTCATAAGAATGAAAGAAATCAGGTTCGGGAAAATCTTCTAAACGAAAATCAGCTTTAAGATATTCATCCACATCAAAAGGTATTCTAATAAAATCTTTTTTATGTTGCTTTAATAAGTCTATTATCGCATTTTCGTATTCATTATCAACAATACGATTAATTATCCACCATTTTTTTGTATTTGGAAAATCAGGTTCATTTTCTAAAATAAATCTAGTATTTTGAAGCACTTGGCCAACTTTATGTCTTGGAGGAAGGTCATTGCCAATAATTCGATAAATATGTATTTGTTCATATGAATTAGAAGATGGTTCTATAGGTATTAATCGATGAGACATGAAAACAGTCATAAATGCTAAACTAATTAAAAGTAGAATAAACCGAATAATTCGTTCTTTGCGCATTGTAACAGGAAAATTCCGATCTAAATTGCCAGCACTATTATAGTAACATGGTAATTTATTACGTGAACCGTTTAATTTTAAAAAATAATATCCTCGTTTCGTTGAAGACATTATTTTTAATTCAAAAAAATTTTTTTTAAAGACTCGAAAGACTCGAGTAAATAATTTTAGGCCGAAAATTTTTTATAAAGGTAGAAAAATAGATTAAAATGGCAAATGTGGCATCAAGTAAACCAGATACTTTGATCCCTCTTGATATAAACTAGAATAAATGCTTTACCAAAGATCTAAAATATTGAAGAGAATAGGTTTTGAAGATCTTTTTCGTAGCAAAAAAAACAATGACTTTAAGAAATAAAAAGTGAGAATGGTCGGAGAATGCAAATGGTAAGCATTTATATAAAAACTTATCTATATAGTAGCACAATGCAACGTTCTAGTTATTTGTGTATAAAACGATCGTTCAAAAAATTGTCAGCACAAGCGACGAGCTCAAAAAATATTTCTTTTTTTATCAATTTAGGAAATACATTATTATGCAAGTTATATTATTATTAGCATATAATAATTATTTTTGGAAATGTCTAATTAGATTACAAATATTACAAATGCGATAAGAACCCTATCACGTGATTTATACTAACCCACGCCAAGATAAATTTATTTTTAGAGTATGACATGATGCAAAAGAAGTGTTACTGGTGATCTCTTGATTAACAAACCAGTGCTATATTTATACCATATTAACCTTAAATTGACTTTAATCATATAGTGTGTATAACTCTCAAATATTTGAATATATTTTAGTATTTTTACAAACGTTACATTTTTAAGAAAAAAAATATATCAAATATGAATGTTTTTGTTTGATAAATTTTATTTCTAAAAAAAGGTCGATATTCTTATTAAATATTTATTATTATTATTTAGAAAAATATTTTATACTACGTATATAGAGTTGATACATGTATTTATAAATTACTAATGCTACAAGTTTGAGAAAAAAATAAATAAATAAATAAATTTTTAATTAGACCAAAAAAATTATTATTTTTTGCATATAATACGTATATTGCTACGTACCTATCGTTATCATCATATATAATTTTCTATATACGAATATCGTCAAATGAAAATTTGAAAATCTTAATTCAGGTGACAAAAGTTTAGTTAATTTTCTAAAAAAAATTATACTTTAATTCAACAATCTATCCTTTTAAATTATAAACTATATTATATTTTTTTAATTTAAAAAAGAACTTGGTTGTAATAAAAATTCACAATATCAAGAATTAAGCACGTATCATACGACTTTGTAAAATATAGTAACTTGTGTAATACTGGGAATAAACATCCCTTAATATCACGATCAATGATTGGATTCGGATTCGAATCCTCGAAGTAGGACGATTCAAATGGTACCAGAATCACACGAATCCAATTATTAATTCTTCAAAAATTCGAAATAAAAAAATGCTTATTCATGATATATAGAAATAAGGTATATTATTGGTTTTTTTGTTTTTTTAGTTAATATATATATATATATATTTAGTTAATATGTATATATATTTTATATAGTTAATATATATATATATTTTAGTTAATATATATATATGTTGTACCCCGGATTGGAATCCGCCCAATCTGGAATCCGGCTATCCCAATTCAGAATCGGGGTAACCCA